ATGAACTTTTTCCCCATGGCATTGTCCAACTTCCCTAAAACATTTGGTCTAAATGAAATGAAGAAAGGCTTCTTCCCACATTTCTTCAACACTCAACAAAACCAGATCTACGAGGGGTACATGCCAGACAAATCCTACTATGACCCCGATGGGATTTCCCCTCAAAGAAAAGAAGAATTCAACAAATGGTACAACGAGAAAGTCTCTGAAAGGTACATTTTTAATTTCCAGCACGAACTGTTGACATACTGTCAATCCGATGTAAGGCTGTTGAAACAGGGGTGTATGAAGTTTCAGTCCCAGTTCCATGAAATTTGTGGTTTCAACCCTATGGTGCATTGCACAACAATTGCCTCTGCCTGTAATGTGGCCTACAGAAAAAATTGGGTGCCGAAAAACAAAATTGCCATTGAACCTGTATGTGGATGGAGACCAAATCACAACCAATCTCATGCTGCTCTAAAATGGCTTTACTGGGAAGAATCAAAACTCCACAAAACCAACCATCTGCCTCGAATTACCCATGCATGCATGCTGTCCAGCAAAAACCAGAATGAAAATCCAGCAACTAACCGCCTTAGGTTACAGAGTTAAGGAGATGTGGGAGTGTGAATGGAATGGTGTGCAAAAAACAGATCCTCAACTAAAAGCGTTCATTGATAAACTCGACATCGTATCACCTCTCAACCCCCGAGGAGCCTTCTTTGGCAGTCGCACAAACGCCATAAAACTTCACCACAAAGTTGACGAAAATGAAAAGATCGAATATAGAGACATAATATCACTGTACCCATGTGCAAATTTGGAATGCAATTACCCTATCTGCCATCCCGAGTTCATTGACCAACCAAGAACAAGACATCTCAAGATACTATGGATTAATAAAATGCAAAATTCTACCTCCCTATGAGCTATACCATCCAGTTCTACCATGGAGGTACGAATCAAAACTACTCTTCCCGTTGTGCAGAACATGTGCGCAACAAAACATAAAACAAGCACTCCTAGAAAGAAGCGACAAGTGCCCCCATTCTGCTGCGGAAAGATGCCTCACAGGTACCTGGACAACCCTGGAACTACAAAAAGCCATTGAAAAGTAATATATCAAAAACGAGTGCGAGTGTTTCATCAGGGGTTCCAAACACTGAGAAACAGATGAAAGCACTAGGCCACAGGCCTCGTGCTTTTATTGTTTCGAGGTGTTTGGAACCCCTGATGAAACACGAAGCACGAGTTTTTGGTATAGCTTCTTAAATGAGTTGCCGATTATTATTGTTTGTAAACAATAGCTATAGAATGTGATAAAAATGGTTTCATTGGAATGTGCCATTTGGGAGTTAACCAACTTATTACAGTTTATCACTTCAATTTACTGTGCGAGATGGATGAGTCAAGTTCAAGGTTTCGGATTCCCAAAAGTTCTAACAAAGAAAAGGCGTCTATTATCAATTAACTAATTGTATAATGTATAAGTCGTTGTATAATCAACTTCATTTACACATGATAGACAATTCTGTTTATCCAGAAATGCAATCACCTTACAGAAAAGGACATAGTACCAAAACAGCGCTTCTTCAAGTTGTTACTGATGAATTCACAAGAGGTCACTCTTCTTGTCATGTTGGATCTTAGTGCCGCCTTCAACACTGTTAATCATGATATACTGATCAAACGTCTACACGAAGAATTAGGTATTGCTGATTCTGCCCTGAGCTGGTTTGAGTCATATCTCCATAACAGGATGCAAAAAGTCAACATCGAGGGATTGATACCTAACCCATTCGATTTAGGCTGCGGAGTTCCTCAAGGGTCGTGTCTTGGACCAATTCTATTTATTATATATGCATCTAAGCTCTTTAAGATCATTGAACACGAGCTTCCTTGTGCTCATTGTTATGCTGATGACACCCAGTTATATCTGAGTTTTAAACCTAATACTACATCTCAAGACCAAGTCTTGCAAGCAATGGAGAACTGTATTGAAAAGATCAGGAAGTGGATGATTCATGATAGACTGTTAATTAATGATAGCAAGACTGAACTGATTTTAATAGGCTCCAAACAACAATTATCTAAACTACAGCCAATCAGTATCTCCGTTGGCAACTCGGTAATTAATAATAGCTCCGAGGTTAAAAATCTAGGCTGTTGGTTGGATGCTAACCTAAGCATGTCTAAGCATATTACAAATATTTGCAAATCTGCATTCTTTTATCTTCACAACATTAGAAGCATTAAGAAATATTTACACGAAGACAGTCTCCATACTTTAGTTCATGCGTTTATAATGAATAGATTAGATTATTGTAACAGTCTTTTGTATGGTGCCTCAAAGGAACTGATAGCTAAAGTACAACGTGTACAGAATGCAGCCGCAAGACTGCTATTGAACGTTGGAAGGTACTCGCATATTACTCCTATTCTATATGAGTTACACTGGCTTCCAATCCAGGCTCGCATTAAATTTAAAATTCTTCCACTTACTTTTAAAGCGGTTCATAAATTAGCTCCATCATATATTAACAGCCTTATATCTATTAAATCAAAATCTTCTTATTGTCTTCGATCTAATGACAGTCTTTACTTAGAGCCCCCTAAGGGTAAGATGCTGAAGACATTTGGAGCTCGGTCTTTTCAGGCAGCAGCACCATACTTATGGAACAGACTTTCTTATGAAATTAGAATGATTAAGTGTTTGGATAAATTTAAAAAAGCTATTAAAACGTTTCTGTTTAATGAAGCTTTTAGTAATCATTAACTCAGATATATTACATTAAAATAATTTATTCTTATATATTTTTAGCTACCATTACTATTGTAAATTTTATTTAGATATATAAGGTTTTTAATTTTTATTCAGTGTAAAGCACTATTGATCTGTAGATGTAAATAGGGCTATACAACTAATAAATTATTATTATTATTATTAATTCTGTTCCGAAATCTACGGTTTACAAGAACAAATGGGCGATACAGATTTTTCGAGAATGGCAAGGCCAAAGAGCAAACAAGATTTGCACTATTGAGCCAGGCGGAGTGTTCAAAGGTGAAGACATTGGTTTGGATGTGCAAGAGTTGACTGAAAGCATTGAAAACATGAATGCCAAAAGTCTAAACTACTGGCTATGCAAGTTCGTTCAGGAGGTTGCAAATAAGTCGGGTGGACGATATCCCTCTCGGACGCTTTACAATATTGTCTGCAGCTTAAAACGTTTCTTGGTGGAGAAAAATGGCGAGGGCGCATTAAATCCATTGGCTGTCAGCGACAAAAGGTACTGTTGAAAGAATTAATTTGTTATTCACAATTTACTTTTTTGTAAGTCATGCTGTTCCTTCCCACAGGTTTGGGACATTTCGCCGAGTTTTGGATGCTGAGATGAAAGTGCAACTCGATGCGGCCTTACTGTTTCAACAAAGAAGGATGAGAAAGAAGCCATCACAGACGAAGAAGAAGATTTGTTCTGAAGCAAAGGCTTAATGGGAACTGGTTCTTCTAATTTGTTATTAAATACAGTATATTTCTATAATGGGAAGCTGTTTGGTTTATGCGGAGGGGAACATAGGAATATTACTGTAAGAAATATAAGGGTAAGCGATGATTGCCTTAGATTTGAAGAAAACAGCTCAAAGAGTTTCCATGGCGGTATTTGTGATCTCAAGTACGTTCCTCGTGCTGTGACGCATATTTGTCATGAAAGGTGTCAAACTCATGCTCGTTCTTTGGTTGAAGTTTATCGACTGTATTTGGGTTTTTGTGATTTTCCTTGTAAAATGGACAAAGCATTTTACTTTAGGCCCAAGAAGAACCGTTTAGGGTTTGATAATGTTCCAGTTGGAATTAATACTTTGAATCAAATTTTGCCAAACATGTGTTCAGTTGCAGGAATTAGAAAGAAAACCGCCCATTGTCGTAGAGTAACATGTGCCACATAGCTCTTTAATGCTGGGGTTGACGAAAAACTAATTCGTGAACACACGGGTCATCGTTCAAACGCTCTTTTTCAGTATGAGAAAGCTAACAGAGAACAACTGGTCAAGGTTTCCTCAATTTTAGGAACAGAAAGTAAGAAGTGTACTACTACGTCTGATGTTGAAATTTCACATGATGTAAACAAAGGGGAAGATGCTGATCATGTCAGTTCTGTATTTCAGGGGGTAACTTTTGATAAATGTAATGTTAAACTCGTCATAAATTCTACGAACTATGATAACATGTGAAACACACAACTATTGTGTTACATTCTTTAAAGAAATAAAATTTTGTTGATTGCTTGAGATGTCATTCACTTCAAATTAATTTATTGATGTCATATGATTTTCCGAGAATCAGTGGACATTTGGATATTGTATCCAAATCTCTAAAGATTTGGATACAATATCCAAATCTTTAAAGATTTTTATCCAGTTTTTCATTGGGTATCCAAACACATGCACGTGGTGTGGTATACAAGCAGTGATTTGTAGTTGACTTTATGAATTATTAATAAGTTTGAGAAGAGGTACGTCATCACGTACGTTTACGAAGTTTGGAACTTCAAGCAACATTCAAAAGAATTTTTTTCCCCCTACATAAAGACTTTTATGAAACTCAAACAACTAGCTTCTGGTTGGCCTTCCGAATGTGACACAGAGGAAAAAAGAAGAACCTATCTCGATGACTACAAAGCCCATGAAGGAATAGAACTAGACCCTGCCAAAGTAAAAAAGAACCCCGGTCTACGTTCCCTCGCTAAACTAATGCTGAATTCTTTCTAGGGAAAATTTGGACAACTCCTTAACCAAACCCAAGTGACCATGTGTGTCAAACCGTCAGAATTCTTCAACATCATCACAGACGACCGACAAGTCGTACACAGAATTGAAATAGCTAATGAAGAGAGGGTAGAAGTGTACCACACCTATGAAGATGTATGCAAACCTGTTCAAACCAACGTAAACATCTTTATTGCATGTTTCACAACCAGTTATGCAAGACTAAAACTGTATGATGCTCTTGACATGTTGAAAGAAAGAGTATTGTATTTCGATACAGATTCAGTGATTTATACCAATAAACCCGCGGAATCGTCCATTCACACCGGAAATTATCATGGCGAATTCATGAATGAACTAGACAAAGGAGATCATATTACAGAATTCGTTGCTGCTGGGCCTAAGAATTATGCATACGAAACCTTCAAAGGAAAACAATGTTGCAAAGTGAGAGGATTTACATTGAATGCACGAGGACAAAAAATCCTCAATTTCAACAGTATAAAAAACTTGGTCTTGGACGAAATCTTGAACGAAGAAGATGAACAACCTCGCACGCTAACGCTCCACAATCCTCATAAAATCACAAGATGTGCAGCTACAAAACCCATCAAAACAGTGTCCCAGAATAAAATGTACAAACTCGTGTTTGATAAACGTGTCATTGATCATGACACATTTCAATCTTTCCCATATGGCTATAAATGCAGCTCTGCTCGAATCTAATTCATAAGAAAAACATGAACGGAATTGATCTTGATCTTGAACTTTACTGCTGTAAATTCTACGACAAAGACATTGAGGTAAAACACACCTATTTCCTTATCATCCCTACAGATAAAGACAACACTACCATCCATATAAATTATGATCTTGATGCTCAACCCAGAAATGAAACAGTGAAACAGTGGCTACAACAACCGTGGTACAATCACTCTGTCATTGAAAAGTATCATTTAATTCAACCCAAAAACAGTCTTCCCATATCAAGCAAAAACCCCTTCAAAAGATTGTGGACAAAGTGGGCAAAGAAAGGCGAAAACATCTGCTATCCACCATTCACGTGCTTCCATCATGACGAGAAGTAACAAAAGAAAAAACTGTAAAAGAGTAAAAAAACTGATAAAAAAACTGAGAGATGACTGCTTTAATCTCAAAAAACATTACAAAGAAAAAATCACGAAGCTTCATATGCAACTTTTAGTTAAAGAATATTATCTCAGCCCCATTCTCGACTTTATGAAAGGTTATTATCATTCTCCTTGGGACACAGCTGTATATAGAGGTTTCCGAAACATGTGTTTTGATGATAATTAAAAACAGTTTTTTATCAAAAAAGTAAGAAGAAAAAACCCACCAATAAAACATTATGCAACTTTTTTCGGATGAAAAAAATTTTATCTTATTTCCCATTTTTTCACTTTTATGGACTTTTTGGAAATTTTTTCTATTCCACTTGGGATTTAAAACTGTACATAGAGGTTACCAAAAATTATGATATGGTAATGAATAAAAAAAGTTTTTTTAATCTCATTTTTTTTGTGTCACGTTTTTTTACTTATGAAAAATCCCCAAAAATATATTCTCATTTTTTCCCGCGCGCAAAATCCCCACATCCTCGCGCTTGCGAACCCGCACGCGCGCAAACTCCATTAAACTCGGTACCAGACTTTTGCGGTTTTTGTGACGTCATCAGAATGGAATGTGACAATCCGGCTTTCTGATTGGTCCATTTGTACCAAGTGACATCAATACTCGATTCTGATTGGTCGGTCTCTATACTGTCTCTATATTACTACTATCATGTTCTCTAAAATAATTTAACTGCATCAGCAAGGCGATTGCATGACAGCACAATCCACTTTTCCCCACAGCACAAGGACAATACGCTTGGGAAGGTGTATTACCAACAAACATTATGGTTACAGCACGGGAAATACTTCCTGTGTAGGATTTGAGGATGTTTGCTTTTACAAATGAGCGTTTAGAATTGCTTTCCATCATTTTCACAGATGTTATTCGCCTCGAAGAAAAAATAAGGTGCGCCTTTCGGTACTGACCTTTTTTTACCTGCGTATTTGGCTTTTTGGTAGTCTTGAATAGTATTTTCGTTAACCACAGGGACGTTAAGATCTTCATTTCTTCCTATTATTTTCCAATTGGCCGACGGAGGAGGAACTTCCGAGGCATGAAGTGAGGTGGAGAATTTATTAGTTTGACTAATGCGAAGTACTTTCTTCTGGAATAGTTCAGCAGATTTCCCTAGAGGAGCCAACCTTTCAACAAGTTCTTGCTTTTCCCGGTGACCTTTAGCCTCAATTCCTTACAATATTGCTTCAGACTTTCTTTGCCAAGTGATGGCAAGTTTTGGATGAGTTTTTGGATCGCTTGCCGCCATTTTAAATCCGGAATATAGTACAAGTACTAAGTTCGCAAAAATCCGGTAGTGCCAGTCTCACACGCGCCATGAAATCAGGCAATGGCGACGCCTCGTATGGACACGTTTACCATTATAGTTATACTCACGGAAAATGATATTCCCAGAGCAAGTCTTGAGGGAAGGAAACCCACTGAATTGAAAAAAGCTGATCTTTCATTTTGGCTGCAATGCAGAGGTGACTCTTGCAAAGGGTTAAATGTGAAAGCGACACTTGTTAAGCAGTATGTGTAAAGCGGTTGATAATGTGAACATTATAATTTCATGTTTTCAGATGGTTTGTAAGTTCCAGCTGCATGCAATGCTGCACAGGTTTCGTCTTATTTAATACACGACTATCACAAGCTATTACTCAAATAAATTTTAAGTTTAGATTACAAGGATGTGTTTTCTTGTGTTTTTTTAGAGTCGAGGAGTACTTTGCAAGTGGCAGGGACAAATTTATAGTTGACCCAGGTCCAAACCAAATTTATACAAAACACAAGGCTAGAGAATGTGCTATTTTGCTTCCTGGTCCTTCATCTCAGAATGACGTGGCTCCCTGAGTAAAATACCCAACTACTAGCTGGGTGAAAGCTCTAGAGAAATTGCCACTGTTCACAAAGGCTGAAATGAAAAAGCGTGTAGAAAATTCTGGTAAAAGAATTGGAAATGTTGAACACCATTCTGTTCCAACAAGCCTTAAACGTGCAAAAACATTTCTCCAAGATGAATATTTAAAGGAAATTGAAGCAGCTGATGATCAAGATTACTTCTATTTTAAATGCAAATGTTATCACAGCTCCAAGAAACATGAAGCACCTCATGCTGTACAGGTAGCCCTTGTCATAAACAGTCACGCGTATTTGTTATGTAATCAAAGTCGTCACGCTTTTCGTTTTGTTTGTACAAAGAGAGCACATGACAACAATTGTAGGATATCAAATTTAGTGTGTATATTAGGGGCGTGTGATTTAACTCGAAAGGTTCTTTTCTGTACGATATCAGAGTGGAATAAATCAGAATTTATACGAAAACAATTACGACGACTTCGTGTTTATAATATGGCGCCCAACGTGGGGCTCGAAATCACGACCTGAAGAAAAGATGTCAGAAGGAGATCTACCACGACTAAGAGCAACTCGCGGGGCCAACAGAGGAGTCATAACAAAGCTCATCGGCGAAGCTGATACAATCTTGGAAAATGCGACCTCCGAATTGGATATCAAAACGAAAAACAAGTTAACAAGAATCGAAGAAATGTTAAAGGAAAAATCGAAACTGGTCTCAGATCTTGACGAAAAAATCGTATCCGTCTGTAAAGTGGAGGAAATCGAAAAGGAAATTGACGAAGCCGAAACATTGAAAATGCGAGTAATGGACGCTCTTGCGAATATTTCCCTCACGACAACGCCCTCAAATACGAGTACAACTTACACAACAACCGGTGGATCCGCAGCACAATTTACAGAAAACAACCCTTCTATTCCGACCGGTTCACTATCGACGCCTCCTTCGACTCAAGCCATACAAACAACGGGATCTCCTCCAGCTTCTTCAGCTCCTCCTTCGCCGAATCAAACTTCCCAACATAGTGGTACACCTCCTACAACAAATGCAGCGACATCTAAACTACCAAAGCTCACCCTACCGAAATTTAGAGGCGAAGTGACTCAGTTCAAGCCGTTCTGGGATACATTCGAAAGTGCCGTCCATTCGAACCCGAATTTATCGAAAATCGCAAAGTTCAATTATCTAGTAGCTCAACTCGAGGGAGCAGCGTCACGCGCCATTGCAGGCAACTATCAAGCGGCTGTGGACATTTTGATGAAATGATTCGGAAAACCACAACAAATCATCGCTTCCCACATGGACGAACTTTTGAAAATCTCCGTATGTTCTTCAGAAAGGCCTTCTCAACTCCGTTATTTGTATGACAAAATCAGCGTAAACGTAAGAGGCTTAGAAGCCCTGGGCATCAAATCTGCACAATATGGAAGTCTTCTCATTCCGGTAATTATGTCGAAACTTCCTCCCGATATACGAATTCACGTCGCTCGCAACACTAGTCAAGATCTCTGGGAAATCGAACCGCTACTCGACCTATTACAACGCGAAATCGAAGCGAGAGAAATGAGCGAAAGAGTTAAAACCATCCCACCTTTAGAATCAAAACAACAGCCTCCTCCACATTTTGTTCCTGAAAAATCGAAGGTTTTGCCACCCACTATTCCACCCGGTACTTCTGGTGCCTATCTTGCTGATTCACAAACCCAACAGTTTGCGCCGACTTGTGTTTACTGTTCTGGGAAACATTTCTCAGCTTCGTGCGAAACGGTCACCGAATTAAACGCTCGCAGAACCATCCTTGCTCGGGACAAAAGATGTTTCATGTGCCTTCGAAAGGGACATCAACAGGATCAATGCCAGAAAACTTGCAGAAGATGCGACAAGAGACACCATCAATCGATTTGTCCACGAAACGCGAACTCCTCCAACAACAACAACAATAACGCGCAGAATACAGAACGTCCCCTCAATTCCGACCGATCTACACAAGAAAGACCTAGGGACCAGACGATCAACGAAAGAGAGAATACTGGCATCACAACAGCAACTACGACAAATCGTGAGAGTTCAAAACCGAATTGCAGAGTGTTACTTCAAACAGCTAAGGCTGTAGCGACAAACGAAGATGGGACTAGATCGACCGTGGTGAGATTACTTTTCGACAGTGGAAGTCAGCGCTCTTACATCACTGAGAATTTACGAGCAACACTTCATCTGAAATCACTTCAAACTGAACGACTCAACTTGAACACATTTGGAGAAGCAAAGTACAAGAAGCAGAATTGCGATGTTGTGAAATTACAAGTACAAAGGTCTGGATGCGAAGATGCCATTAAAATTTCTGCTCTGACATTTCCGGTTATTTGTTCGCCTTTACCTGGCAAGGTCTCTGTAAACTACCCGCATTTGGATGGATTGGAGCTAGCGGATGAACCGTTTGACGCCGAAGGTTCGATTGATATTCTGATCGGCTGCGATTATTGCTGGCATTTTGTAACGGGGGAGACAAGACGAGGAGACGAAGGTCCCATTGCTGTAAATAGCAAACTCGGGTGGCTGCTGTCTGGACCAGTTAAAGGAACACTCAATCGGATTTATGTTACACATTCAAATTTAATAATCGAAGGCCATGACGACCTATTTGCCCGAAACAAAGACGACGTTCTCACGAACACTCTGAAGAACTTTTGGGAGACTGAGGCAATTGGCATTAAGGATCTGACTCAACAGGAAACGAAGGAATCTTTCAAAATCGATGTTGCATGGAGCGAAGACCGATACGAAGTCAATTTACCGTGGAAAGAAAATTGTTTGCCGCTATCCTCCAACAACTATCTGTTGTGCGAATCGCGATTAAGGTCCTTACATCACAAGCTGCGCAAAGACCCAGAGTTATTAGCCGAATACGACATCATTCAAGACCAGTTATCAAAGGGGATAATCGAGCAAGTACCGAATAAAGAGAAAATTGCTGCGCGACATCATTATTTGCCTCATCATGCAGTAGTAAGAAAGGATCGTGAGACTACGAAGGTACGAATTGTGTACGATGGGTCAGCAAAATCTGGTAACCAAGAGAAGTCACTCAACGATTGCCTTGAAACTGGGCCAAATCACATCCCACATGTTTTCAATATGCTAGCGCGCTTTCGGAAGAATCCTGTCGGTATCACAGCTGACATTGAAAAGGCCTTCCTTATGGTGGGAATCCAAGAGGATCATCGAGACTTTCTTCGATTCTTATGGTTAAGAAACCCAGATTGCGTTAAGCCTGAAATTGTACAATACAGGTTCACATGGCTCGTGTTTGGGTTACGCCCCTCACCTGCTATTTTGGGAGCGACAATTCTACATCACTTACAACTACACAAACAAAGTGACCCCGAAATCGCTGAATTATTGGAACAATCTCTGTACGTGGACGACCTGTTAATGGGGGAGTCAGACGAAGAAAGAGGTCTCTCTGTTTACAAGAGATGCAAGAAGGTTATGTCCAGTGGAGGATTCAATCTCAGAAAATGGCGATCGAACTCGCGAAAACTACAAATGCAAATTACGAAACTTGAAAGTTCACCAGGATCAGCAAACACACAACAGGAGGTCACTAATGTCAACAAAGAAGATGACGAATCATTCGCGAAATCGTGTTGGTTGTGACTCAACGACTTCTGACAACGAAGATGCAGTAGTTAAAATTCTAGGAATGAACTGGAACACTCTCACAGACGAAATTTTCTTCAATTTCTCCGATCTGTGCCCATTTGCACAAGCACTTCCCCTCACCAAGCGATCTGTTCTCAAGGTTACGGCCAAGATCTTCGACCCCATGGGATTTTTGACGCCTCTAACAATAGAGATGAAGATCTTGTTTCAAGAACTTTGTATCAACAAAACAAACTGGGACGAAGAATTACAAGGAACTTTGCTTCACCGATGGAAATCGTTTCTCCAAGATCTGAAGTTCATTGGCGGCTATCGTATTCCTCGATGCTATTATTCGCGACAACCTGTAACCTCTCAGATACATGGCTTCAGTAATGCTTCAGAACGCGCCTACACTGCGGTGGTTTATATTCGAAACACGTACAGTGATGGTCGAATCGAAGTTAAATTGGTCGCTTCAAAATCGAGAGTCGCTCCTATCAAGGCACAGACAATTCCTCGATTGGAATTACTAGGAGCATTAATTTTGGCCCGACTTGTTAACAAGTTTAAGTCGATACACAACCGTTCTCTGGAGTGATTCTACAACTGCTCTATGCTGGATCAAAAATGAAAGAGTATGGAAGCAGTACATTGGTCAAAGAGTAGAAGAAATTCGACGTCTAACTCCCAAAGATTTATGGAGGCACTGTCCAGGAGAATTAAATCCTGCCGATCTACCATCGCGTGGACTATCAGCGAAAGAACTTTCTGCCAGCAATACGTGGTGGAATGGTCCGAGTTTTTTGTATCAATCCGAGAATGAATGGCCCGAAACTTCTCCATCGGAACAAGTGAACGAAGAACAAATTTTACAGGAAGCCGTCAAGAACGTACCAGATGTAACACATTCCCTTATTACCACTGCCTGCGACAAATTCAACCCGAAAGTTGACCAAATAATCGACATTGGACGGTTCAGCAACAGGACGAAATTAATTAGAGTAACCGCGTTTGTGATCAAGTTCATCAACAAGCTCAAAAACCGAACACTTGAAAACCGGAAAGAAGAAATGGAAGATTTAACAACCACCGAATTGAAGGACGCCGAGAATCTGTGGATACACTCGGTTCAAGCATCGTCTTTTACCAATGAACTTTCTTTTCTGACTCGAAAGGATTCGAAATCAATGCCACCTATACGTGTTCCGCAGTTGGGACTGTTTCTCGACGACGATGGAATTATCAGATGCAAAGGACGGATCGCAAATGCTTCCCTATCGTCTTCTGCCAGAACCCCGATACTTTTGCCTGCCAAACACGCTTTCACCAATCTCACTATTAGGAATATTCACGATTTAGTCAAGCATTCTGGGATAAGGGACACGCTTACGAACTTACGAGAACGTTTCTGGATTCTACGCGGTCGCGAGACAGTCAAGAAAATCATTCGACACTGCGTTGTCTGCCAACGATTCGATGCAGCACCATGCAAACCTCCACCGTTCGCTGATCTTCCAACCAACCGAGTCTCAGACGATCCACCTTTTACTAATGTTGGAATCGACTTCACTGGGCCATTTTACGTAAAGGAAAACGTCAACAACGCTGAATGTGTCAAAGTTTAGGTGTGTTTATTTACATGCGCTTCAACCCGTGACTCGTGGACTCGGTGTCCAAGATTTCCTGCTTGCTTTCAGAAGATTCACCAGTAGAAGAGGACTCCCGGCTAATCTTCAATCGGACAATGCAAAAACTTTCAAATCATCAAGCAAGGATATTCGTAAATTATTACGGTCACCGGAAGTTTGGCGATATTTAACCAACAATCAAATCAGTTGGAATTTCATTGTGGAAAAGGCGCCGTGGTGGGGAGGCTACTGGGAAAGGCTCGTTCGCAGCGTAAAGTCTCCTATCCAAAAAACCATCGGAAAATCTACCCTCACCCACGAGGAGCTAAGTACTCTGTTAACGGAAATAGAAGGGCTGATCAACGCAAGGACGCTGACTTATGTGTATGATGACGAGGAATCGATCTCGTATCCCTTAACGCCATCGGATCTGATTTATGGTCGAAGAGTTACTACAACTCCGAACAGTCAACATTTCGAAATCACTAGCACCTACGATTCTCTGACGAAGCGACTTAAACATCATAGACACCTGTTGGGACAATTCACTCGTCAATGGAGAAATGAATATTTAACCAGCTTAAGAGAACATGCTATCAAGAACGCACGGCTAAGGGAGACAATGGCGATGCAGGGGTCAAGGTTGGAGACATTGTTATTCTCAAAAATGACAGCGTTCGTCGAAGCTTCTGGAAGCTTGCGAAAGTAGAAGAATTGTACCCGGGCCGAGATGGAAAGGTGCGAGCAGTTTCAGTTAGAGTTACGAGTACCAATGGTAGTTCAATTCAGCGATTGCGACGACCCATTCAACACGTTGTTCCTCTTGAGGTGAACTCTTGAACTGAACTGAGAACCTTAAACGTTGCCGAATTTAGATTTATTTCCTCACACTTGTAAATAACGCGAACATTTAGAAACAACGAACTTTGCGATAACAAATATAGTCTTAGTTTATTTTTCAAAGCGAATATAGTTGACTCACACTAAGGTGATCAACTAGGGGGAGTGTCATAAACAGTCACGCGTATTTGTTATGTAATCAAAGTCGTCACACTTTTCGTTTTGTTTGTACAAAGAGAGCACATGACAACAATTGTAGGATATCAAATTTAGTGTGTATATTAGGGGCGTGTGATTTAACTCGAAAGGTTCTTTTCTGTACGATATCAGAGTGGAATAAATCAGAATTTATACGAAAACAATTACGACTACTTCGTGTTTATAATAGCCCTTTGCATCTTATCTGCCCAAGTGATAGATGCCACTTGTACACTTGTTCTGCAGGTAAAGTGGGTTATTGTAATCACACATTAGCCCTCATGTTAAAAATTTGCAAATATTCATTGTTTCAAAGCAAAACAACTGAAGACCTCCAGGATGAATGTGATGAAAGTTCATCTTTAGCATGCACCTCAAAGTTACAAAGTTGGCACAGGAGAGGTCGGGGTGATTCAATCCATTCACAACCTGTTATGGATGTCATAGTGACAAAAGTTAAGGCTGATGATGAGAAGTCTGCCAAAGGCATTAGATGCCAGCTATATGAGGCCCGTAAAATAACCCAACACAACATTGAAGAGGAAGAAAAATTTACAACAGCTATAACTTCAATTAATCCCAAAATGGGAATTGCTACTCTTCTCTCAAATCCAGTCTGTGAAACGGTTCAAACAATGTTTGGTAGCAGTCCTGTGGGCTCTACAAACAGCTATCAGTTGTCGTATACCGAGGCCAACTTTTGGGTGAACATCAATGTAAGATCCAAGTGTAACATTTTTTCTATTATTCGTTCTTGCGTAATTTGTTTTTCCTTTGCGTACGCAAATTAGTTTATACTTTTTTTCGTCCATTTGTTTAGTCTTTTTTTTTTTGGCATTAATTTAAGTGTTTATTCCTTTCTGTCAGTTTTCGCGCCCTCGTTAGCGTTTTTAAGGAACTTGTAAGATCCTGTCATCATTTACCAGTGGAAGAAGGTTACGATGAGGCACGTAGGCTTTTGAGAAGGAAGTATGGTGACGATTATCGCATAGCATCTGCTTACGAGATGAAGGCTCTCGACTGGCCGAGCATAAAGGCAGAAGATGGTGTGGCTTTGAATCGTTTTTCAGTCTTTCTCGCAAGTTGCAAGAATGCATTGGCAGGTAGCCAGTACATTTCTAAGTTTGATCAGCCAGGAAACATTCAAAAGTTGGTGCTCAAGATTCCTTACAGCATGAGAGAAAGATGGCGTCGTTTAGCTGATGACATCATAGACAGACAGTTAAGGCCAGTACAGTTTAGTGACTTCGTCGCCTTTGTTGATCGCGAAGCAAGAATACTAACCAACCCAGTCTTTGGCAAGATATCCGATACCATAAGATCAGCGCCTGGTCAGCGGTCCTTTGGTGGCAAGACATCCAATCCCAAGAATCTCAGTCTCTTAGCACATGTAGGCGATAGTGAAGGTCATACCAGTGAAACTGTTCTGCAGGGTGTAAAGGAGCCAAGTCAACACGCCGATGGAGAGCAGAGACCTCAGACTCGCAAGGTTCAGCCATTTGGAATCGATCAGGGTCCCTCACAAGGGAAAAATCGGTGTCTCTATTGTAGCAGCAACCACGCCCTTGAGGATTGTCAGTCATTGCAGTGGAAACCCTACCAAGAGAGAATTCAATTCCTGTTGTCCAAAAAGCTGTGCTTTGGATGTTTATCCACCGAACATGTCGCAAAGTTTTGCCAGCAGAGGAAAAATTACAAGATTGCAAACTGTAAAGGACGGCATCCTACTGTTTTACATACAGGCCCTCGTGAGAGACCAACTGTCGACGTTGGAGTGGGTACGGAAGACGTAATCAGCACTCAAGTTTGTAGTCACATGGTAAAAACGGGCACCAGTGCCAACAGTGAGACTTCAGGAGAGGGTCGTAGGACAGGCATGGCCGTAATACCAGTTAGAGTAAGAGCAAAAGATAGTGATAAGAGCGTCATCACCTACGCCTTCTTGGATAACGGTAGCAACTCCAGTTTCTGTACTGAATCGCTCATGAAGCAGCTCGGGATTAATGGTCAGCAAGTTAAGATATCCCTGTCTACTCTTGAGAAGAAAAATAGCATCACCAACAGCTTCCTGGTTCGCGACCTTCTTGTATCCGATTTGGACGAGAACGAGTGGATTAGCCTCCCGACCCTTTATACCAGGCCGGAGATTCCTGTGTCCAGCAGCGACATTCCAACTCAACATCAACATCAACAACAACATCAACAACATCAACATACTTTATTGACTTTCCCCAATGGGGCTTTTCAAAGACAATGTTATAAAAATAATCCTATTACAATTAAAAAATCCTATTTACAATTAAAGATGTTTTAAAATCTGAATGTTCTAAAAGAAAAATAAAAGCATACAAATATATAAAATTACAACTCTTTGAGTAGTTTGGTCCTTAAACGTTTTTTAAAAACCTTAACGGAGTTGCACAGTTTAAAGGAATTATCCAAAGAGTTCCATAAGTTTACAGTTCTATAGAAAAATGTTCTCTGACCGCTAGCTGTTCTAAAGAATGGAATTTGCAAAAGCTGCGAATTTCTGGTGCTACGTCGACTAACCTCGGCTCGCTTTATGAATTTTGATGAGAGGTAATCTGGAGCCTGACCAGTCATGCATCTGAAGGCCATAGTAGCGTTCCGGTAGTAAAGCTGGCTTTGAACTGAAAGCCAATTTAGTTCCTTGCGAATTGGTGTAATGTGGTCAAATTTACGCGCACCGCTAACAATGCGGCATGCGAAGTTCTGCACCACCTGTAACTTGTCAACATTACATTTTGAGGTATTTGACCAAACATTGGAACAATAAAATAACCTGCTGAAAACTAAGGAATTAATAATCATCAAAAGTGTACGTTTGTCGAAAACATGCTTGACACGGTTTATTTGGCCGAGGCGGGACATGCACGAGGAAACGGTCTTAATTATGTGTTCATCGTAAGTTAAATTAGAATCCAAAATCACACCAAGGTCTTTGGCGGTGTCTGCGGGGACGATGTCCTCACCCATAATGGAAAGGGAGCGGAATTGCAATTTTGCACGCATCTGCCTGCTGCCAAATATCATCAGCTTGGTTTTGCCAGGGTTAAGTAACAATTGGTTGTTGGAACACCATTCTCCTATTTTAAACAAGTCGTCTTCCAAATCAGCAATTGCATCCAGGTTGTCTTTAAGTTCGAAGGAAGTGATAAGTTTCGTATCATCTACATAACTCTGAGTGCTGCATTTCTGTGGGATCGATGGAAGATCGTTCGTATATATGCTAAATAGTAGTGGGCCTAAGATACTTCCTTGAGGGACGCCGTTGGTCACGGACAAAGGCTCAGATAGCGTTGAATGGATTCGTACTACTTGTGTCCTGTTGCTTAGGTAACTACGAAACCATTGGAGAGCGTCTCTGGAAATTCCGACATCTTGCAATTTTAAAATTAACGTGTCGTGATTGACGCTTCTCGAAAAGCTTTGTTCATATCTAATAGAACAACTGCCGTTAACTTCTTTTTGTCAATCGCGTTAAGAATTGTGTCAGTTGTTTCAATCACAGACGTTTCACACGAATGCCATCTCTTGTTACCGCTTTGGCTCTTTGATAGGGTGTCATTCGATTGCAGATACGAGGTGAGCTGATTATGTACTACCCTTTCGCAAACCTTTGATAAGACTGGTGTAAGTGAGATGGGTCTATTATTGTTTGCCTGTTCCTGGTCGCCCTCTTTTGGGATTGGTGTAACCACAGCTGTCTTCCATTTTGATGGAAAAACACAGTTTTGAAAGGATGCATTAACGATAGACGTTATTGGGTGAACAATTGGATTAAGACAATCCTTGATGACACGAATCGGGATTTTGTCTATCCCTGGGGCCTTGTTTGAAGGCATCGCTGCTATTATACGTTCTATTTGTTTATAATCAATGGTACTCAGTGTGAACTGGTCAGAGAGAGCGTATTGTCTCGGTACAAAATAATTCTGATTAAGTGTTAGGTTGCATTCATTAGCCAGGGACGTAATTTTGTCAACAGTGCTCTGACCAGATACGAAAAACTGATTAAATTCGTCTGCAACAGCTTTGTCGCTCTTACTGTATGTTCGCTGAGATGTAGATTTGCAGGGGATGCACTGGCAAATTGCTTTCCAGATATTATTGGTGTTATTTGGATTCCTCTGGATTTGTTGGGCCACAAATTCCTGTTCAGCAATTCTGATTTCCCTCTTTACTTCCTGTCTAAAATATCTGTAGGCAGTCCAAGATAGCGGATCATTTGTTTTCTTTGCTTTCTTATGCCAATCATCCCTGGTCTTCATCAATCCCCGGATGTTGTCTGTTACGCATGGATTTGGTTTACAGCGTGCTTTGAAGGTTTTAACTGGGGCATGGCGGTCGAGTATCTCAGTAAATAGCGAATCAAGTGCATAAAGTTTGTCCTCGACATCGTCGAAAACATCAACTATGGACCACGGTGCCAGTGATACGTCGTTGCTAAAATCAACAGGACTGTAGTGTTTAAAACTTCTGGTTGTAATATAGACGGGTTTGGCGCGCGCTTTCTTCAATTTTAAGGTGACATAAACCAAGTCATGGTCGCTAATCGAGCTTTCCATAACCATAGCCGTTTGAACTTGTCTTGTGTCCGATGCAATGATAACATCTAGAATTGATTTCGAAGTCTCCGTAACTCGTGTTGGCGTGTTGATCAGTATTGACAAGTTATAGGAACGGCAGAAATTAACAAGGACATTAGCTCCAGGATCGTTGCTATTCTCAAGTCTGCAGTTCAAATCTCCCAATAGATAAATTGGAACATTGAACGACGAGGCATAAATAAAGTTCTCTGTGAGATCTGAATCGAAACAAGATAACGATGCGTCCGTGGTCTATAGGTTGTACAGACAATGAAAGACTTCATGTTCCTGACGTGGATTTTTAGCCACAGTTGGTGAAAGCCAGAGGCCGTGATAAGAGATATATCGCTCAAGTACTCCGTCCTGTAATTTCGTGAGACATAAGCACATACTCCACCGCCAATCTTCGCTTGTCGGTCGATACGGTAGATAACATAGCCAGGAATTTCTATTTCCAAATCCGTAACTGAACTGTTGAGCCATGTTTCGATACGGTAAATATGTCAAACTTATTTTCCAGTACCGTTTCCTTTACAAGAACGAAATGCTCACGGCATTTAAGCGAAGCGGACGTTAAGATGTGCAATCTTCACATTGCCATTTGACTTTTCAGACTTGTTTCTAATAGAGCTGTTTGCTGGTCCAGGGTTAAGTTCAACATCATGT